AGCCCCAGAGAAGATGGTCTGAGTAATTCTGCATGGTAAGGAAAGCTCGTGTTTCCTGCACGGTAAGCGCTCTGCGCACGTTATGGCCTTGGCTCGCCATGGGAGAAAGGCTGGTCCACGAGCGGTTTGAAACGCAGCCAGGGGCAGTAACTCTCTTATAGCCCATTAGATTCAGTCACCTCCATTTCTTCCATTGCTCCTGGCCGGGGTCTGCTCCAGGTCCGGCACAAACTCCAGCAGGGCCAGGGTCCCTCCAAGCAGCGCTTCTATTGCGCAGCCGTTTCCTGTCCACGCGGCATGCAAACAGCTTCCTGGCTTCTCTTGACAGTCTGCCAGTATGTGGTGAGGAAGATGAGGTGCAGCTGGGCAGGTGAGGAGACACCAGCACGTCCCCTGCACATGGCCCCGCTCAGCCAGAGCCAGGTAAGTCCATGTCTCTCTGGGAATGCTACAAGGGGGGCTCAGGCTGGCTTTGGACTCCAGAAATGAGAACCTCGTATTGCTGCTAGGCTGCCCTCAAGTCTAAGGGAAGAGACTTCTGTGCCCGCAGAAATGCTGCATGGAGCACGGGCATCCCATGCCTCCCTGCTGCAACAACCACAGTCTTCCTCAGAGCTGGGAAGAGCTGCATCTCTTGGAAGTCACAGATAATTTCCTTTTCTTCTTACTTTATTTTTCCTCACTGCTTTTTACCTTTAAACGTCATGGCTGCATCCTCACCCTGAGAGATGATGAGCAAGGAGCAGCCTTTGGAACAGAGGCTGAAGCACATGACTGTGGATACGCTGCCAAAGCACCATCCCCACAGAGCCACACCACCCCAGGGGGACATTTGTCATTCAGTGTCAGCACGCACCCGACTAGGCACCAAAATGAATCAGCACAGCCGGCAGCACTCGCTGCCAAACCTTGCAGCCCCTTTGCTGCCGTGGCAGTGGCCTATTTAAAACACACGGATCGCTGTGACTTTGCAGGTTGCTCCCGCAGCAGCCCTGAGAGCAGCCGCTCCGCCCGGCTGCTGCGATGTGGCAGGGCTGGCGCACCAAGGACTTGTCTGCACTCGCTCCTGGAGAGCTCCCCACGGGAGCCTGGTGCCTCGCATTTACCTACAATTGCTTATAGTTCCTACGAGGGGGTTTTCCTAGTGCCTTGCCAGTCCACATCTTAGCTTTTTCTCTTCAGCAGCAATCGTTTACCTTAGCTAATACTGAATCCTCTTCTGTCTCCAATGCTTGTGCAATTGCAGATGTAAACACAGTGGCATCAGAAGGCTCCCAAGCAAGAGGCACCATTGCCAGGAATGACGACTCCATTCAAGACCAGCCCTGCAGGTCCTGAGGATAAAAGCCCTCGTGGTCATTCCCAGATGCCCACAACACTCCTCCCTCTGGGCCTCCCTGGGAAGGTCTGTTTGCTGGGAATCCTGCACCCCAGGAATTAGAAATATGTTTCACCAGCAAATACCTCCTGTAGCTGCTCTAAACACATGCACAAAATAATAGAGAACACCCTTATCCTCAACACCCAGATTTCCCAGCCAAGGTTGCAGACAGAAAAATAATTGCTAATGTTTTTTAGACCCCCTAGCACTGCTGGGTCATGGGGTGTCAGGGGAAAGGTATAATCCGCAGTAGCCTAGTATCAAATATTTTTTTTTAATGGGGGCAAATTCTGCTCCCAGCAGTATCAGTATACATGAGACTACTCCCAAGGAGGTAGAAACAGGCTTCGGAACAAGCAGTCTTGGAGTTTTGGATTTCCTTCTAGCTCTGGGGAAGCCCACGACAATCTGTGCATGGCCTCTGTGTCCAGCGCCCCAGAGAGGCTGCCCTGACCGCAGCCAGAGCTGAGGTAGGATGTGCAGGGAGCTCCAGGGACCACGGCACTGCCCCACTCCTCTGGCAACCCCCCCTACTCCGTCAGAGAGAGCAATGACAGCAGAATTACAAACTCTGCAAGTGTGGGACGGAACCTGCCTGAAATCATCCTGTGACTCCCCAGAATGGGCCAGCAATAAAGATGTAAATCTGAATGGAGAGGCGTGCAGGAAATGTGATGGCTTTTCTCCAGAAAAAGACTCCGAGGTGGAGATTTAGATGGGCAGAAGAATGGCAAAGGTTTCCAGGGGAGGCTGCATGGCTCTGCATGAGAATGGTTATCCTTTCGTGGGCATCATCTTAGTCCACAACCACCTGTAGCTTTATGGCGCTTTATTGCGCATCCCTGCATCAAACCAAGCAAATGCTGAGGTCTCCTGCTCCCTGCTGGCTCCTTTTCCATCTTGTACACTAACACAGTGTGGGGAAAGAAGAAAAAAGAAAAAAAAAAGAAATAAATCTGAACCAAAATGGAACAAAAGAGGAATCTAAAAAGAGCCCTGATCCAGGCCTCCCCAAACCACCCACAATGTCTGATATAAGCCCCACTCCCACGGGTCATTAAGATGTTCAACACCCTTGTCAGGCAGCAGAGTTAGCACACAAAGTAGGTGGTGCAGAACCCCTACCCAAGCTGGTTCTTAAGTTGCAAATTCAGTTAAGTCCACTGCTGAGACAGGGACCGCATCTGTCAAAGGACAAAGCTCACTGTTGCTAAAGGTACAAATTCAGAGCAAACATCACAATTAAAAGACCATTAAGCACACATTTTCCCTTCTCCCTTGTACCAAAAACACATAGTTCATTTCAAGGGCATGGGACTGGCAGCTGAAGGCATTCTTCGCTCTCCTGTGTGGCACAGGTAAAAACAGTGGCAAACTACCAAGCCAGAGCTCCAAGCTAGCTCTAGATTGTTTGTGACACCTGAAGTGGTTTCTTTAGAGCTAGGGATTTAACCTGTGACCAAGACAGAAGGTTTCAGAGCTAAGCAGCTTTCCAATGAGTAACGTGCATGTTTTATTAGAGTCATATTGCCACTCATCCATCCACGCAAGTCCAAAGCATCAGCTGTAGCACTCTCCTTCTCTGCCCCATGGCTTCTTCACACCAGTGAATAGGGATAGTTTTCGTTTCAGCTCTCTCCATGCCGCTCCTGTCACCGTGCTGTGAACCAGTGATGTCCAGCAACGAGAACACTTGTCTCTATGAACTGGCACAGGCAGGGCACCTTCCCGTGCTCCACATGCCCCATGACCGTGGTGTGAGGGAGCTGGCCACTCACCAGGAGGCGGACGTAGCAGCTGCTGAAGATCACCAGCAGCTGCTGGGCCATCACCTGAAATGAGCACGGGAGGAAGGTCAGCGCAGAGCGCCCACCTGGGTGCTCACACCCAAGTGCAGCAGCCTCTCCTGCTGCCGCTGCTGAGCACAACCCAGTGACATTGTGTTAAACACCGTGCACCCACTCGTTCAAACACCATCCTCAACCACTGCTGACTCAAAGCAGCTTCAAATGGACAGTGCAAAGTTACTACCCACATCTGTCCTACAGCAAAGAGAGAAGAGCAGAAAAACAGAAAGCATCCAAAAATCCCCAGGAAAACAACAGAAAAGGCCCTACAAAGTTAGGCATCTTTGGGACTCTGACATTTGTATCGAGACTTCTCTGCTCCTTAAGTAATGCAGAAAAGGGTCTATTTATATTTCCTATCCCATCTGTTCTACTGACATAACTGACCATTCTTGCTTTTGGCAATCAGGCTGTCCTCAACTTCAGACATCCCAAGGTTACTACAGGTCTGAAAGGAACAGGACAGAAGCTACAGAACCTCTCCAAATCTGCTCATGGTCAGCAGCTTCTGCACGTTGTCACCATGGGGAGCGACATGAAATGAGGGGGTGTCCAGCAGAGAAAGGAGCCTCGGGACCGGCTCTGCAGAGACGGCCTGGACTGAGCTCGCTGGCTGAGCCAGGCTGCCTTGGGGATCTGCTCTGCCACTGGCTCTTGCTCCTTTCCTTGTCGCCTGCATGCAATCTACTTAACAGCAGTGAGCAGCAAACTGTAAAATCAATCAAAATAATCCCCTTTGGAGCTTCTTGCTGAGCAAGAACGAGGACACATTTTTCACTCAAAGCAATGCAAGTCTTTGAGAACACAATTCGCAAAGGACACAAGCTCAGCACTGCAAAGTCTCATCTGTATCCCTGAAGCAAGGGAACAGTTTCCTAGACAGTCTCTAAAGAGGTCCCACAGACACAGGACAGTCAGGAGAGAGCTCCTCAAATTAACCTGAAGGAAATGGCATAAGAGATGGCAGCAGCTAATTCCAGGCCAGGCAGTACCTGCCTCTACTTGGGATGCACAGACATGAATCCTCTCCTAGTCCTGGCTACCTGCACCATGCCAAAAAGAATCAGGTCTTTCCAGTGAGATCAGCAATGGAAGGTCTAATTGTGAATCACTCAAGGCCATCAGCATTAAGCTACTCAGCAGCTTCAGGGCTTGGAGAGGCTGTGTGTGGGCCTTGAGCTTTCCAGGTTTTTCTAACTGTGAAAATGGAGATATTCCTCATGGCTGGCAGATGTTGGGCAGAGTTTTGGAGATGAGAGGCCTCGGGAGGCAATTAGGCACCTCTGTGCATCAGGGGAGGGGATTCCTCATTACCTCTGGGGGGCCCTCTGGAATGAGGCAGAGCAGCTCATTGCATGTCACAGGCTCTTTCGTTAAATTCACTTCAGTGGATAACAGTGGGGTTTCTTCAGATGAGACCTGCTCCACTTTTCCAGGATCAGGCTGCACTGCTGTCTCCATAACAACACAGATCTGGTCCAGGCTGTGCCGCAGGTCCGACTGAAAAAAAGGAGAATTTGGGGGTCTATATCAGTTTTTTATCAATCAGTGTGAAAAGTTTTTTACTGTCCATCCTGTGCTCTGTATTGGTTCATCCAGGGAGAGGAACAGTCCTGAGATTTTCAGAGGCTCTCATCATGCAAGTCTAATCAGCAAGGGCAATTCAGTGCAATATATATTTACACGCTGAGGTAGAAGAAAACAGCTTTTGAAGGCCAAGAAGACAAAATTCATACACAGTTAACAAAGTTATTTACTTATTCCTCAAGCAATCTCATTTACTTCAAGATGACAGCTGAAGGTGTCAGCTATTTCAAATTGAGAGACATGCTTTCAAAATTTGCCCTTGATTCTTGATGATTTTCCTTTATTAAAGCTGCATGGTTAATTATCCAGACCTACACATACCAGAGGATCTCAATAAATTGTTACAGACCTTAGCACTCGAAAACACAGTTCTTTTTCCAGCTCCCAGTTTACAGCAGGGAGATTATCCGTGGGAAACTCAGTGTTTATTTTTTTGTTAAATCCATCCACTCCATCGGCTGGTTTCTGGCTCTGCACTCACGAACGCCAGGAAGGTGCCCAGACTCAGAGCATAGCACCAGTCCTCAAGCCCATGACTTGTTCCCCTCCTCCCCAAAATGCAGCTGCCATGGCCAGGAGGAGGGTCGGGGCTGTCCCCACAAAACATCCATCCCGCTGCCTGCTCCCTGCCCACCTCCATCGCTCACCTCTTGCATCCTGCGCAGCTCCGCGAGACGGGCTGATAAGGCCTGGAGGCAGCGCTCTGGACTGAAGTGCACAAACCACAGCTGGGACACACAGGGTTAAGGTTGAACACTCTGCCCTGCAGGTCCTCTGCCTTGGAGACCCGGTGTGTGGGTCTTGCAGACTGCAAGGGTGCACTCAAAATGCATTCAGGAGCTCAACAACGTGTCAAGAGGGCCTGAGCAAAGGCAAAACCTCAAGCACTGAGTGATGAAGAGAAAGGTGGCAGTGAAGGGGGACATTTCCCACAATAGGGGAGGAAGGCACGTTGTGGTAACAGGCCACCCCTGTCCTCTTCACATCTCCTGCACCCCAGGAGCTGAGGTAACCCAGGACCAGTATTTGGAGCTACAGTTGCTCAGTGACTTTACAGTTAAAGAAGTTGAATGCTCACGCTGACTTAACTCTGCTAAATCCCTCCCTGATTTTATTCTTTGTTTCTAGGGACTGAGTACATTCATTTTTACAAGACTGAGGGTTCTTCAGTTAATAATAATGTCCTTGGAGATGGAGGCACTGTTAGCTAAGAGCTTACCAGAGTACCATGCTGGGGATGTGGGTCCTACCCAATTTGGAGACAGGGGCCCCTCAGAACAGAATCAAACGTCTTTGTCCTTGCATATGTACTCAAGTTGGCATAGTCAAGGCTATTCAAGAAGACATAAAAGTTAGGGGGTTAAAAAGGATCTAACATCAGAGCAAACAGGGAAAGTGTAAAACCTTGGGTCTATTTCTGTTCAAGCAGCTCTGGAACATGTAGGTAGATGTGAAGGCTCATTGTATTAGTGCTCGTTTACTCTGGAGTGTGACTACACTCCAACTACACTCCAACTCCACTACAAACACGTAATTCAAGTTCCTGAGTGTTTCCTCTTCATTATAATATAAATACTCCCTGTACTGTACTCCCTGCACATTCCTTCAAACCTGTGCGTTGGCCCATGGTTCGCTCTCCATTTATATTTTCACACTATTGCGTATATTTGGGAGTGTGTGAAGTTTGCCAGTCACTCTGAGACACCATCTCTATCACCTTCCTATAACACTCGTGTGCTACCTTAAAACAATCTTTTCCCTAAATCCTTGTCTAATTTTGAAAAGATACCTCTAGAAGGCAGCAAATGAGACTCCTCTCTACCTGGCTTCAACATGCATTTCATAAAGCTTTCAAGATCAAACTTACTTAGCAGAAAGAGACTTGAGCTACAATTCACTTATCTTCATGAAATCAGATTCTTTAATGTACCTGAAGGAGGGAGCCCAGGGCTCTAAATCATTCCTGAAAATAGAGACACTTGTATGCTGTTGAGTTAGCTTTTCTTTGCAAGACAGAATACAACCTCCTAAGGTTTTTACTATGCTTGTTTTGTCAGTGACACATTACTGTCACTCAACACAATTATTATTACAAATGTAAATATTATATGCTTCCAGACAGTATCACAAGCCCAAAGGGCTATTTCAATAGAATTAGAATTTCAGACTCATTATCGCCAGAGGTGTTTGGGCAATCTCAGTCCTCAAGTATAGGAGGGGAATGTCCTTTATGCAACTCGGTAGTGAGAGGAGAGAAAAAAAATTAAATAATAATAATTTTTAAAAAGCTAGAAATTCCACAGAAATCTCACCTTCTGGAAATCTTCATTGATCATAATAGCAATAACCCCACATTGTTAGCTACCTGGGAGAGATACAAAGGGTTCCCCACAGAAAGGATACTTGTAGGACATTGTGCAGCCCATCCAGGACATCTGTAATCCCTAGAATCAAATTGTGTTTGATAAAGATTTCATTGACAGCTGCCAGCCTCACATCTGTATTCACATTTATCTGTTAAAAAACACAGGAAAAAGTAATATGCCAATCTACAGCTACGATTTGATAGATGTGGTGGTATCATGGCCCATGACTCCAGAGCACTATGCCGACACAAGGAAATGATGACACTAAATTGCAATTTCTGACAACACACAGTCCCAACTGCAAGGACCACCCCCAATACAAGACAGGAGTTCAACCTTGCTCCTACTGGCAACCCCACGTGGCTTCCCACCAGTGACAGGAAGTGTGAACTACACTCAGCAAGGTTGCGTTTTCCAGTGCCAGCAGATGCTTTGAGTCAGCCTGGGTGGCTCCGACACCTCCTTTTTAGCCATTACGACACCTAACTTGGTTGTATAACATTCCCTGTCTGAACCCGATTTCTGAGCCTGTTCTAAAAATATTCCTTCTTCCCCTATTAATTATGTTCTTTACATGCAACTAGGAAGTTATCTACATCCCAGCACTTTTCTGAGAGGGAAGTCTACTCCAAGTACTCCAAGCTGGCACCAAAGCAATCTGCTCTTACCTTCCTTTGGCGTCGCCCAATGATCAGTATCACAACTGCAGTGACTGCTACAGCAGCTACGGTCACCAGCACGCTGGCAGCCCAGTAGCGCCCAAAGGAGCATAGCTGTACTGTGGAGTAAATATTTGTCCAGAGAGACATGTAGAAAATCTGTAAAGACCCAAAGAGAGTGATGTCCCTCACAAAACTAAGGAAACACAGACAAATCAAGGAAAGAAGAAAACTACTGCTCCTTTCTCTATACCTAACCATACATGAATTAAAACAGCAAAGATTTTCAGAGGATGAGAAAGGACAGAAGTTCTTTCTGATGACAAATAGGGGAGAAAAAGGTCTAGAAGAACTGAGTGAGCCCCAGTTTATTTTAAAGAATTTCCAGTAATCAAAGACAGAGTGAATTATTAATGATAATTCATATTTACAAAGGATTTCAACCGAATTCTTTTTGGATAAGAACTCACTGAGGTGTACTGATAGTATTTCTAATACTCCTTGCATTTAGAAAGTTCCTATGTCAAAGCATGCAAGGCAGTGTGGACACTATTCAACTACAATAAATGCTCAGATGATGCACACTGAGCTGAAGGGCTATGTTAGGGCCCAACAAAGCTGACCTTTGCATAAAGACAAGCAAAACTGAGTTCACTTCCCACCCTCATCTCCCACCCCAAAAATTCCTGACATCATTTAGAGGGGCTTTTCTCACCATCTATTAAAAAAAAAAAAAAAAAAAAAAAAGCAAGACTAGACTCCTAATTCAGCAATGATATTGACAGATGCATTGGTGTTTCAGGAACAGGGCGCTCCACCATCCTTACCATGGCAATGGCCATTCGGAATGCCCTAGAGTTGTAGAACATGTACCGCCTCACTTCGGGCTTCAGGACAGCATCCTGGAGCAAACTTCTCCACTGATCCACTGCAACCTGCTCAGGAAAGAAACATCAAACCAGGGCTACTCTCTGCTTTTGGGCTCTCAGCCCAGGTGGTACAGGCCTGGGCAGTGCAAGTCAGAGGACATTCTGGAGTGCCTTTCCACAGAGCACCCTGGCTCAGGCTGCAGCCTCATCTACACAGCTGTCACAGATCAAAAACATGTGCATTTGCCTCTTCTGCAGTAATGTGCCCCTGGAAAGCACTGGAAGAGTTGCACAGGAAAACCTCCTCTTTATGACACAGAAGAAGATAGGACAAACTGTTCCAGCATTGTCCCTTCACATCAGAGTTACTTTCAAGTAATTCACCTGAACCTATGCAGATGGTTACAGTAGCTCTTGCTTGCTATGGAGCACGTGGAAAATCTGAATCCATGGAAAATGAGGTCATGTCCTCAGAGATGTGACTGGCAACAGCAGGGGCCTACTGTGTTTTGGAGATCTCTGCTACCCAGGTGCAAATGCAAATCATGACAACACAGCTAGCATTCACCCCGCATGCCGGGGCTGGAAAGCAATTATCCACAAGGAGCTTACCTGCACCCCAAGGGACTTTAGTTTCTCTGTACAGAGCTCCATGTCAAAGGAGGTGGCCGAGCAGTTATTGTCCATGCTGAGTACCATGAGGACCTGACCATTGCGAGCATCTGCAAGAGTCCAAAGAGTCATGAGCACCATCACTGGTGCTCACCTCAGCAACTTAAGAGCAAATAACAAAGGGAAGGTTGAGGAGCACAGACCATTCTAAAAAGTTTTTAATGGATCCAGAATTCCTCCTCAGACATCTCTATAAACATCATTAGGTCCTGCTATCTCAGGAAGAAAAGAGCCTGCGAGAGTGGAGGAAACCCAACATACGTTCAAGGAGTGAGCAGTCAGTGATACCACGGTTCTCTGACCTTCCGCAGGACAACGTATCGTCTCACCGAACCCTAATGAAAGGGCAACAACCTGAAGCTACTCAGTGTTGCTGTGGACAGCTACAAAAGGCTATCTGCCTCTTAGAGAGGTTCCTTATCTACCTAACTCCAACTTGAAGAAAAATCTTGGCCATTCAAATGAAGGCATTTTACCATGGTCGCATTTTCTAGCAGGCAGGGAGACTCTAGAGCATGAGCATTGAGTCCAAGCCCCCACTTCAGCAATGCTCCTGGAAAGTATGGCTCTGACCAATGCTTGCAGCTTCCCAGTTCCAAGATGGGAAATGCAGAAATATCATTTAGAGACCCAATTTGTGGTCAGGAGCCCAGAAAGTGCGATGACAGCCTCTCCTAAGTGTGAGAAGCAGGCTCCTTGGAGCAGCAGACAACTGCGATCTTCAAGCATCCCATCTGGCATTTATCTTGAGTTTACATGAGGTGAGCTATGTCTAAAGGAAGAGATGAAGCCTAAAGAAATGGCCAGTTCAGACAAAATTCAGTTTCACTGAAACATTTCAGCCCGTTCTCCCTCAGCTCTGCAGGTGATCCTGCATTCCAGGGTCCTCAATTTCAACAGGTGGATGCCCATCCATTCCTAAATATCAGGCTCTTCAAAACAGTCCAAATCCACCTATCCTCTCCCCTGAAAACAGAGATATCCACAATAGCTAGTTACTTTTTCAAAGGAGGTGCCGAGGGGTTAACGAGCATTCTTTTAGGGGCACTACACTCCGTGCTGCTTTTCTCTTCATCATCAAAGAGTTTTTTGCTTACCTGTTGCCCACTGAAGGGATCCTTCATTTAAATCACTCTTACTAAAGAAGACAGAGGAAAGGGAGCTGTTTTTCTTGATTCCATCAGTTTGGCTTTTATGAGCCATGCGAAAGGGTACCTCTCCTTAATGGATCCTGCTCTGTATCATCAGAAATTCAGCACTTCATATATCTCCCTTTTCTGTCACTTTAAGAGATACCTATTCACACACAAGATAACAGGCAAGTGGCTTGCTCTCCTCCTTGGGGACAGGATTGTGAAAGCTTCATTCACACGCCCACTGATGGCTTCCTTGAGATTTTACTTTCCATGAGCATGGGAGTTATCTTCTAGACCTGAAAAGAGAAAGAGAAATTGCAGTGCGGCACAGGCTAATTGGCACATTCTGCTCTTTGGACCCTGCTCTCTGTGGCTGTTATCACCAGTTAAATGTTACTTGGACACAAGTACAGTATGCACAAGCTCTTTTGCTGAAAACATTTTTCCCCTCCCTCTCTAAATAGATTTAAAAGTTCATCATTAAGTATTCATATTTTGTAAGCAATTAGCCCAGGAATTGGCCTGATTTCTCCTTGTGAAGTCAACAGGCTTTCTGTCATTCCCTTCAGTGGGAGAAGAAAGCAGGGCCGCTGTAAATACCCCTCCCTTGCAATGATATATCTGGATCACTGAAAACAGTGGAGAATTCCCTACTATGCAGAGCAAATGGAAATGGCACAGATGAGGAAGGAAGAAAAATGCATCCACTTAAGGCAGAAACAGGCAAAACAGGAACTTTTAGCCAGGACATGAGAAATTTTTGAGGAACAACTTTCTTTTCCTACTCACCTCTGCCTCTCCCTTCTCAGGTGGGGATGCCGCCGGAAGCAGAGGTGGCACAACCCCATGGGAGAGGCAGCATCCGTGAGCTCTCCAGGTAAATGCTGCTGACGTAGGTCTCTAACCCTGATCAGCTGCCCACACCTCTGGTGTTTATTCAAGCCAAATGCTTGGCAGCTTGGAAGTTTCCTTACTAATTATTTCGTATTCATGGGGTCCAGCTGCATCCCTGTTGGCTCTCCAAAACCATCCTCTACTTTTTAACCTCAGTTCTGTCTTTCTTTTCTATCAGGAGCCTGTTGCTCACTTTGGGACTCATCAGCTCTGCCTCCTGGGAGGATTGCCTTATTTTTGCCTAATTGTTGTTGCTGCAATTGCCACCTTGCATAAAGGCACGGCACTCATCAGTTGAAGGACCATCAAGCAGGAAATTGAGGCAAGCGAAACTACATGGAAGTGTCTTATGATCACAAAAAGAACCTGAAAAGGTCTGGAAACTCATGGTTACAGGATTCAGGCTGTGACATACTTTAAATTGTGGGTGAGTATTGGGTTTGTGCCTGTGTGTGGGATCGGCACAGCTCCTGCTTTCAGTTCAGACTGTTTCCTTAGAAAGACATACTTACAGTCTTATTATAGGTTGGAATTAATCTGATACAGACAGTTCCTGCACAATAACCCCATGCGTGGGCAGCTACACAGACCCAGCATAGCAAACCGGCTGTGCAAGCCTCCTGGCACCACAGGTGAGGCTTTTCTTTAAAATACATCCTGTTCTCCAGCTCATTTTCCTTGTAGATCATGGGTATGCAGGTGTAACAAGGCAGGCCTGCCAGGAGATAGTGAATTTTTTCACTCCTTTCCCCCTTTTCTTCAAACCCTTCAGTGTTCAGTTTCATGTTAAACAGGGGTGGAGGGGGAACAGCTCACAGGCTCCAGTTCCTTTTGTTGCAGAATGACTGTTTCCACAGACCACTGTCCCTGCAGTCCTTCCCTGCTCTGCCTTGGGCTGACATGAGGGGTATCCTCTATCTCCGGTCTTCCACGGGGCTCTGTGATTTTCTATCCCTCTTCTCATTTTTTATGCAATGCCAATGTCTCTCTGGTGACTGCTCCCTTTGCCTTCTTCAGGTTGTGGAGCTTCTTCAAGACAGCTCCTCAGCTAAACCCCAGAACAACATTCAGCAAGTACGTTTCTAGAGCGGCTGTCAGAGACTTACCTGGTCCAGATTGTCTCCTGGGCAGTTTGGCCAGCTCATTCTTCCTCCTCCTTCCTCACTGTCCTGTATCTGCTAACATTTGGCGCTGCTCTCCTGCTGCCCCACTACAGAAGGGGAAGGTCTCTTGTTCCAGCAGCTCCAACCTGTGTGAAGTAGGTGTGTTAGAATACGCTGCTCTCATCCCCTACATTTCCCAGGGCCAAATGACTAATGAGGCACAGCTCACTGAAGGCAAGGAGCCGGCACTCCGACACTACCTCTTGCTTTCATTACCCCAAGCTGCAAGCAGCAACTTGCAAAATTTCCCTTATGCATGTGACTTTGTCCCTGGGCTCATTTCAGAACTGTGCCTTTAACCCTCTAGAGTTTCTCAGAAGTGCTTCCTCATCTGGCACAATAACAGGGAGGAGATCCAGCTGCAAGGTTTAAACACATTTTCTAGGGGGTCCAGAGTTGGAGTCAGACTCTGAAGGTCTTGAAGAGGTAGCACGAGCTGAAGAGCAGCAGTCAGCCGGCCATCCTCCTCCTCAAGCAGCAGAGCAGGATTCACTATATGCAAATCCCAATGTTGCATCAGATCAATTGCCATGAATATATAAGTCAAAGCCAAGCATCAGCCATGGTGCTATAGGAATTAGAGGATATAAACAAAGAACTCAAGGCTGAGAATGAGTCATGTTAAATTTAGTAAATGGTTGTAGAAGTGCACAGCCAGAGATAAGACCTGGGAGGAACCATAGTCCTCCTTCAAAAGAGGAGGCTGTGCTGATGCAAAGGGTAGGTGCAAATTTCCTATCTGCTGTATCCCAAAAAGAAGAGGTGGAACCGCCTAGTCAGATGGGCTGCTCCAGAACTGTCACTCTTGCAATTTCCTTGCTGGGGGAAGAGAGATTCAGATTTCTTTTGGAAATGGGATAACTTGGATAGGGATAATTTGGATGGGATAACACAGAAATAACATAGGAGAAAACACTCATTTTAAGCCATGTGGAGTCATGGTTTCAGGAGCACCAAAAGCTGGAGGATCAAGTGAATCAAATACATCAATAAAGAGTCAAAAGCAGCTTCATTGCACTCCCTGTGTAGACTTCCTGGAGAAAATGCTCTTCTCTCCAAGGCCTGATTTTCTGCAATTCTGTTTGCCCAAAACAGTGCTGAGTAATGTGTTAACTAAATCACATGGCTGCATGGGGAACAGAACTGACTCAAAACCACTTACCCACATAGGATCTTGTTACACTCGAAACTGGCAACTCACACAGTAATATCATAGAAGCATTGAGAGAAATCAGATAATCTGCTTGCTGTTGTCAGTGGCTCATGGCCCAGCCCACTTTCCCACCTAAAAAGGAGCATGCAAAGCTCTAGGTTCCTTTGCAAATGCTCCCCATCAAAAGATTTGGCTTCTTTCCTCTTCTTATGGCCAGCTCAAGGATCCTGATAAAGAACACAGCGACTGAAGTGCTTACAAAGAGCACCCTCAGCTCACTGCAAGAAAACAGCCCAAGGCAAAACTCCGTGTGGCTAATAATCTTGAAAGGGATTCTCTTAACTGCCTGTAATGTATATAACATAGCATATGCATATAACCTAACTATTTCTTAACAAGAAGTACATGTATGGACTGATCTTGGCATCAGCTTCTCATCCCATTAACATGGGCAGAAAAATCCTGCTATTCTGGGATGATCAGCTGGGAAAAAAAAAAGGCAATTTAAATGTTAAAAGGTTCCAAAACATGAAACAAGTCTTACAACATTAAATCTTTAGTATCCTGATGGAGACCATTTGAAGAACAGCAACATAAAGCAGAAAACCTGCAAAATACTCCAGAAGAAGAAAACAACAAGATTCGGAAAATAGCATCCAGCCTGCCCCATTCAGATCCCTATGTTGGTGCTAAGTAGATCTGGCAAGAGACTCTCTTCTACAAAATACATACCTCAGCAGCCTGCAGAAGGAGGTGCAGCACTTTTAAATTAGCTCCCTTACTGGGCTGATGAGAAAACAATCTAGGTAAACAGGTTTTTCTCTGAAAATTTTCAAGGCACCTATTTCATGCCTATCTAAGAAGCTTAGGATAAAGCTCCACTGAAGCTTAAGCCAATCAATATTGAAAACAAAGATTTGCAGTTGTTTTTCTGAGTTAGTTTTCCACCAAACCAACTCCCTGAGCTTCTAACCTCAGGATCGCACAAGTGCCGATACTAGCCCAAAGGAGATGGCGGATCTGCAAGTAGAGTTGTGGGGAGCCAAGCTCTCATAGACCCAGTTCTTTCTGACTTCAGCTTTCACCAAATCATATGCTTCGAAATCTTAAGAAGGTATTGATTTTCTGGGCATCTTATTTGGGGCATAACTTTGATCCTTCTGTTAGGCAGGAGAGCTCAAGCAGATATCTTCTCAATCCAGACAGACACTCTGTCATACAAAATTCCATTTTGTAGCTAGTTTATAAAACATTCATCGGTGATTAATATATGATGATAAAAAACTACTTCTTTTTGGATTCCAGATGGAAAACAAACTGCATATTATATCCCAGACTTTGCCTTAATGTCTTTATTGATATAAACCCTGATATCAGGGTTTCTGGAGTGCTAAAATGAGTCTGTAACATTCCTACCTCACCTACTAACAACAGTCCCACAGCAACTTTAGCATTAAGGATCCAGAAAAACAAAATTTAATCCTAGTAAAGCCAACAGGGAGAATTGCAACAAACAGAAAATATGGCATAAATCAGTAAAATAGAATAGAATTTGGAGAGACAATAAAGCAAAGGCTCCAAGGAAATAAGGAACCACAGACTGTAGAACAGAAAGAGGAAGCTGGTAGGAGGATCTCAGCACAGACCCCTATCCCAGAACTGCAACTTTTCACTTCCTACCAGAGGTGACTAGTTCACTTCCCTTCTCAAGCAAGACATAATCTTTGCAAAAGTTTACTGGAAAATCCTCTGTTTCAGGGAGCCCTGTTGAAAGGCTCTGAAATGGAACTCATTTAGAAAAGCAAAATTGAACTGAAGAGCGTATGTCCGGCAAGCAAAGTGCCTCTGAAGTGCATCTTGATTGGGCACTCAGAAATTGAAATCAAAATAAATGAAAATACAGTCTTCTCTGCGTGAGGAAGCATCTGTCTGGATGGATAAAAACAGCTCA